TTTACAATATTGCTACTACACTTGTAACAAATTCTGTCCAGTGTTTCTTGGTTGATATTGATATAGAGGGCCTGGAGAATTTGATGTATTTGCTTATTATTTTCATGGTATAGTATATTGGTGTAGTCGACAAGTATTTTTTTGTATTGTGAAGGTGGACAGGAAATGTCATTAAATGTTGTGCGATAGAAAATGTATCCAACAAATGGAATGTAAGACGTCTTGATAATGTTGTGGTTGTCAAGCCAACATACGTTCTTATTTTTTTTGTCAGAGATACAATCTCACAAAGAATATTAAATTGATATAAAATGTTGGTCTTTTCCAAAACACGAGTTGATGGAGAAGAGTTATTGCGGATTATTAAGTTGGTTCTGCTAAATTTAGTATAGTATATAATTAGTTTTATTTTTTACTTGGATCAGTGTAAAATATATTAGTCCTTATGAAAATTAATACATTTCCTACCTTCCTATGTAAAGAAACAACTAGTATAAACACGTGCACGTTAAAGTATAATAGCGAATGTCCTGACTATTACCAAAATAGCTATTATATATATATATATATATATATATATATATATATTTATACATTGTAAATCTATTAATACACGGTGTGAAAAAAACTTTGATAGCACAATTTTCAAATAAATTCGCATCCGAGGAAAAATGGAAAAAAAGAAAGAACCAGAAACCTTCAAACAGAGAGAAAGAAATCGTCCAGTACCTTAACCCCCCACCCCCCCAAAAAAAAACCCAGCGAGTAGTAAGTTAAAACGAAGAGTGCTCAATACACTAAGTAGAGCAAAAAGTAAAATGGTTCACCCTGATGATCCCATGTGGTGAAACCTAGATAGGTAGTACCTGGCTCATTAGGATTTAAGTTTTATATATATATATATATATATATATATATATTAAGAATTGGACAAAGTCCGACAATTTATTAAAGACATTTTTATGTTTAACATTCTTTTTATAGATACAAGTATTTAAGTATATTTATTAATGCATAGGATGCAGGTTCGAATCCTGTCAAAGGACGAATATTTTCTATGAAAATTTCTCGGACATTCAGGCCGGTAAATGTTACTTAATACTGTTTATTATAAACAGAGCATTTACTTAAATACTTGTATCTATAAAAAGAATGTTAAACATAAAAATGTCTTTAATATATATATAAGGCTCAAATCACGATACAATTCATCAGATCTACAAATACAAAAAGAAATAAAAAAAAAGAAAAAATTCCGATTTCTTTTTGAATTTGTAGGTCTGATGAATTGGATCGTGATTACGATTCCAATGTAATAAATTATAACCATGGAATATTAGTGTTTAAGCCTTCTTATTATATTCTTACTTTGTCCTGGACATTGAGTTCTACCTGTATTCTATCCTCTTGGGAATTTATACATATATATATATATATATATATATATATATATATTGACCACTAATATTATCTATCTATCTATCTATCTATCTATCTATCTATCTATCTCTCTCTCTCTCTCTCTCTCTCTCTCTCTATATATATATATATATATATATATATATATATATATATATATAAGTAGGTGGTATTCTCATCTTAGTTAAAAACACAGGAGATATAAGAAAATTTACAAAAAAGCTCCTTTCGTAACTTCACATATGAACTTAGCAATAGCAAAAAATCCTTTTCTTGGTGTATTGATAGACACTAAACATGACATAGTTATTAACCCACAATAAATAAATCAACTACCATAAACACGCGCGCGCTAAACTATAAAAGCGATTGTCCTGACGATAACAAAATAGCTTTCAGAAAAAATTTAATGAACCATGCAAAAGTTAACTCTTCCACGAAAAGTATTCTACTTTGAATTAAAAAAAAAAATTAAACAATCTCTCATTAATAATGACTTTCCTAATTACATCGTTGACGAACAAATTAGACGACATCTTAGAAATAGTAACATAAACGAAATAGGACATAATACTTTCTGAAATAATCCGAAAGATAACATATCTTCTATACCGTAATCAAATGCATTCTAAATAAAAACAAGATGGAAAAAATCTTTAAAATCTCATGAATGTAACTGATACAAATATAATATTTGTCAACTGATTGATATAATATTCAGCAACCGACCTCGGATGTCTTGCTGCACTGATGAGCTGTAAAACAGTGAAACAAGCCTCTATAGTCTATATAGATGACATTATTATGCTCTTGATAATTTCGGTTAAACACTGTTGAGAGAGAGAGAGAGAGAGAGAGAGAGAGTTATAGAGAGAGAGTTATAGAGAGAGAGAGTTATAGAGAGTTATAGAGAGAGTTATAGAGGGAGAGAGAGTTATAGAGAGAGTTATAGAGAGAGAGTTAGAGAGAGAGTTAGAGAGAGAGAGAGTTAGAGAGAGAGTTATAGAGTTATAGAGAGAGTTATAGAGAGAGTTATAGAGTTATAGAGAGAATTAGAGAGTTATAGAGAGAGTTAGAGAGA